ATAATATAATATAATATAATATAATATAATATAATATAATATAATATAATAAAAAAATAAGTCCACATGAATTCAAATGCATTTACTGATAAATCAGTTTAGTAGTGTAAATTTGATAGTAGAATATTTGTATTTTGGAATAAGAAATACCATAATATAATAAGTATTTTTTATGAGATATTACATTCCAATATCTGTTCAGCCAAAATGATGAAGGTTTGCATGTCCATTTGGTAGATATTAATGGGGATCTTAACTGCAGCTTAACATATTGTTCATTTTCAACACTGTCACGTTGCACTCATAGAGCACATTTTAATTTCTTGATCAGTAATCAAATGGAAGTTTCTTTTGGCAAATTAAAACAGGAAGGATTTTTGTATGGAAGAAAGGATATGGGAATATGACGCCACCTTTTGGTGATAAAAGTAATTACTGCAGATTTGAATTCTTAAGAAAGACTGATACACTTTTTATAGAATAGGAGCAAAGTACTTCATTATATTTTAAATAATAAGAGGAAAGCCATTAAAAATAAATATTTGTACGGCAAAAGATAATTTAGATGTACTTAAAGAATAATCTCTAATCTTGATGGTTGTTTGAAAAAGCTAGAAAACATTGCATTCAATTACATATAATACTATAGATTTTGAAAATACAATTAAAACCAAAGATTTTTCTTTTGGGATTGATGGATAAGCAGCTGGAAAAAAATATGGAATTGTGTTTCTATGTATGATGATTCCAGCAGGACTAAGCACAAGGTGAAAGATTTGACTTTATCCATTATGGAGGAATGAGTAGTGAAGATAATGGAAATTGCTGGAATGACCAAATAGATTGTTTAATTAGAGATAGAACATAGTTAAATTTAAGAAACCTCTTGCTGATTTTTTTGCAGGAAACAAAAAATGTTGCGGTTTTGAGGATTCTAATAAAAATAATAGATTTTAGAGAAAATGTAAACAATGCTGTTATTGTTATTTTATATTTATACTTACAACTGCTGTAAAACAAAATCAGAAGTCACTTTATATATTTTTTCTTTGATTTCTGCATTTTTGTCCTTTTTTCCTTTTTCAGATTTTTTTTTTCATTTTAAATATTAGTTCTTTTAATTTTTTATTCTGTGTTAATTTTTTTGATAAAATTTATTTTAAAAATAATCTATGATCATACTTAGAAAGGTATACCATGTTATTACAGAATAGACCAAATTGTCTAAATTGTTAGGGAAAAAAGACCAATATAAATATAAGCTTCATGTTGCAGCTCATCTACCTGAAATAAAATGAATTAGTTGTAAATATATGAGACTTAGGATGGAGGTAGAGACATTTGTCAACCTGTTTTAATTTTTTCTTTGCCTTTTTCCCCAGCCTTTCATTCCTACTGGAACAAAAGGCATGAAGAGTAAAAGCAAAATGTTTAAAAATAATTACAATAGGTAAGAGATGTTAGGATTGCTCAACTTTTTTTGGAAAAAAAAGAACAGGCAGGCATTTGTGAAAAGCCAAAGCACTTGAATAAACATATGTTTATGATTAAAAAGATGGACTGTCTTGTTTTTGCTGTGCTGATTTAAGCCAGTCTGCCAGCTCTATAAAATGTGATTAATTCCTCTGACAATAACAGCAGTGGGATTTATTCCTTACCTCCTATGCAATTGTTAATTGCTCTTGAATTGTTTACTGCTGTAGTTGTTTTACAAGTGCAAAGACAAACAGAGAGAAACTCCTTCCCCTTTCAAACCTTAAATCCCAGGTGTGATTGAATGCTTGGCAGAATTTGGTAAGGGTGTACACAGGTTATGACTACAGCTTGTTAGTTTTTAAAAAATGGAGGTGATGACGCCTCTATAATTATAGGTGTTGCAGTTTTAAAGTCAGAATGTTTTTCCAGCCATTGCTCTGCCCCACCCCCTGAATCCTATGAGCCATGTTTCCTGGAGTTTTTCAGTTTTTAGATGTTTTGTGAGGATCCTTAAAATCCATCACCAAGCCTTTGTCATGAGGAAAACTATGAAATTAATTTTAAGTTGTTTATCCATCATACACACATAGTAAAATAATGCTATTGTTTATTAGAGAAAGGCAGTTATTTTTATTTTGCCAATGTGCAGAGCTTTGTCGGGCTGAAAATAGTAGAGTTTAAGAGGGGAAGCATTTTAATTTGTTCATAGCTAGTGCTTTTTTCTGAGCAAGCTATGTAATGCTTGCTTCTAGCAATTTGTCAAATATTCTTTTTGACATTGTAATTTTATTTTTGTTCTGTAATTGAAGCAAGCAATCTTGTATGTGTGGATATAATAATGGTTCATTTAAAAATGCAATTAATTGATCTGTCACTTACTGCAAGCCAGTTACTTAATTCATTGATTACCTAGGCAGAATATCTTCTATTTTGAATCTGGATACCTTTTTAGAATTTTAACCTGCTGGGTATATGCAGTTACTATACTAAAATTATGTGAAATTTATACTGAAAATGTGTTGATTAACTTGCAGTTTTGTGGTTTAGTTGGTGAAAAAAATTGATACAGCCTGCTATTGTAAAGAATTTGAGACCAGGTAGTATTCAGTATGTGAGCATGCTAGTTTAGTTAAGTTACATCAGATTTCTACAGATGTTAGATAGGCATTAAGAAGTTATGGGGCTTATCCAGAATAGTCTGATCCAGAGTATTTCAGTTGTAATAACATTTGAAGCTAAAAGTTTTCCTGTGCTTTCCCTGCCATTCTCATTTGCAAGGCTGGATAACTCTAATATATGCAAAATCATACAATAGAATTATTACACGCTGTAAATAAATACATTAACCTCAATGGAAGTTTCTCTTGGAAAAAAAATATTGATAGCTTGCATCTTAAACCTACCAATCTCCTCCCATCTCTTTAATGTCACTCTTCATAAGTTGTTCTTCTTGCATTTTGTCTATAACAAGATATCAGAAAATCTTATCTGGATCTATAGCATATTTCATTTAATAAAAAGATGAGGCTATTCTGTTTATTTTCTTCAATAAATTATATTGTAAAAACAGAAAAACCAAGTCATCACTGGTGGATTCATAGAAGCCCTTCCCTTTCAAGATGAAAAAAAACTGCAAAAAATGAGAAATAAACATTTTATTTGTGCTTCCTTCTTTGACACAGCCCGTGCCTTTACACTGGCTCTTTCTTACACCCAGTGTCTTGCAACAATACATAGGTGCATTTGCTTCTGCCTTCCTGTTTGTGGTATCCATTGTGTGCCTCTAATTCTCTTTGGAGACTCTCTGTGTCTGACTCAAGGAAGAGGGAAAATAATTATAATGAAGTATTTTCTTTTGTTTTTAAAAGATGGATGATGCAATCATGTTTCAAATAGATTTTAAAGAAAGAAAATAATGAGGTAAGACATCTATTTTTTACCTATATCATGTCACAAATTAAAAAATGGCTTCGGAAGGACATCCAAATAATTTCAACGGGGAAAAGTTTGGGAAAACTACATCAGAAATAATAGAATTTCATATTCATAATGTCACATGGGAAAGCCATTTTAAAATTTCTCTTTTCAGGTTTTTTTTTTAAATTTTAAGAATATATATTGAACTTGACCCAAGGGGTCATTGTATTTTATGTTTGTATCTGTTGAAGAAAGTAGGAAATTACTTTTTTCTATAGCTTTTTTCCTATGCTCCCCAATTTTTCTATCTCCTGTCCCTTCCCCCCTTTCCCTCTTTTTGTATTTCTCTTTTGCTATTTAACATATTTTTAATTTTTTCCTGGTTCTCTATCAATACATTCTTTTTTTAAAGACCAGTACATGGGTACATTTCCAAAATACCAATATATGTCCAATGCTTATTGATCTGTTTGTTTAAATGTTACCTGATTTCAATTTTTTAATTTTAAATAGTTGCATAATTTGCTGGTAAAATAATGCAAAGTAGGTGAGGGTTTATTTTCACTTTTTTTGATGAAATTTGATTATTATTATTTTTGCTTACTGTGTTAAATCTCAAAAGATTACTTTTTGGTGATATTGAAAATGGTCTGGGTGTGTGTGAATGTGAAAAGTCCAGAATCATTACATAACTCTGTGATCATAGATTGTGTATCCTGGTTTAAATTGCATAACCCCTGCTTGTTGGTTTGGGGTTGGGTAGCCAGCAAATTTAAAAACATAAATAAATGAGATACAAACAGCACGAATGAAAAAAGTGTCTAGGTGAGTGTGTATGCCACCCAAAATCTAACCGTAGAATTGCTCATAATATTATTTTGAAATATCCTATATAGTAGGGTATGAAATAGCATTATCAAACGTAAGAAGGAGGCATTAAAGGTTGAGAAGAGTCCAGGCAGCAATACCTAAATGTGTGCCACAATTCTTTAAAAAAATTCCTTGTACAAGTGGCTGCCTGGGCTCTTGTACATATTTGAGTTAGCAACTGTGTGTGACCAGAGAGTCTACCAGGCAGCAGATTGTAATCACACTCAATTGAACACTATAACATTCTCACTATACAGCTTTCCTGTCAGTGTGAGATTGGGCTGGGGTGAAGTATGCATTCTTATTGCCTCTCTGCAGCCCTTTTACAAACACCCGAAGGAAATCTTTACAGTAATCCAAAGAGATGCTTTTGTGTGTAATGATATGTATCTGTGCACTAACATTCTGAATTTTAAAATCATTGAACATAATGGCCATTTTGAAACTTTCATAATATCCAGAAGCAGAATGTCATACACCACAGTGGGCTACTCTATTTAAGGAACGGGGGTATAGATAATAAAGAACTTATTCATATGATTTCATCAGCCAAATAAAGCATGTTTTTGCCAGGTCCTTTATTATTTTTATTAACCATTCTTTCACTTACTACACTTGTTTTGTTTTGTTTTCTGAGTCTGATAAGGAATGTTGAAATCAGTCTATACCTGATCCAAATACTATTAAATGTGTTCCATTGTTATTACACTCCCTGCAAATTCATCCTAACCAAATTAAAACCACAAGAAAAGCTACATTTAATACTTTGATGAACATTTTTTTTACATGTCCTATATAGTTTTCCGCAGTACTTGTATTCCAAAATCAAATTTCCCAATTATACTCATACTTACAAGTAATTTTTTGAGTTATATGGATTTTCATTTTGCTTGAAAGCCCTGACACATTTTTTTGAAATCACTTCGTTTAAAAACAATTCTGTTTCTTCAATAAGTTTTCCATAGAAAGTTCTAGTGGTACTTCTCCTTCCTGAATACTATAGTTTTTAATGTTAACTAACATTCGTATGTAAGTCTATAACTCACACTAAACTAGGAAATACTTTTTTGTCTCTTAGCTTATAAAAGAAACCATATTTCAGTTTTCCCATATGAATAGTTTTTACCCAAGGTAATGTTACAAGGAATGTAACCGATGAGAATAATTAAGTACCACTGATACAGGATTGATGTCTAGAGCAAATTCTTGTTTAGTGCAAAAACATTCTTTTGTATTTTATTCTACCACCACTTCTTAGATTTCCTGGAAACATCTTCTGTTCATAAGCAACTATCGTATATTTATTTTTGTTTGGAATAAGTTTAGGTATATTGATGGATGGAATTAAATAGAGGAGGAGAGGGAGATTACTTTATTATCTACAGAATCTTGGAATGTGGGCTTGGATCAATAGCCTTTGTAGTTAAGAATCAGAATCCCTTAGAAGACTGAGCTAAAGACAAATAGTTACACAACTACAGAATGCCCTATTCCTTGACCAACACAAATTCTTTGTTGCTTAAAATCCAGAACCCTCTCCTCACTTTCTGGAAAGAATATGATAATAAGCTTCACACTTAATTCCACCGCATCATTTTGGAACAGGACAGTTGAAGGGTTTGTTGCTGAATTTCAGTTGTTGCTGAAATACTTCAGAGTCACCAGGGATGTGTATTAATGCTTCAGCTGCTGATTAGACCATGCAAACAAATTTAAAATAGTAGCATCAATGTATTGTGCTGGCTTTCTGTCGGCCTATCTGTCTTTAAATTACTGATCTGTATTGAAGTTGGCTTTCTAACGTGCATGTTTCTTTCCACAGAAAGAGGCAGCAATTGCCCATTTAGTCCATTATTGATATTGGTAGTAACTCCTAATTATCTAATAGATTTTTAATCAAATTGTGCAAAATAAATCAATTATGTTTTTCATGTAAAATAAAAAAGCAGAGCTATATTACTTTGAGAGTGTCTAATGAAAGTCTAGAAGCCATTTATATAGTCAACTTACAGTGTTGAAAATCTTCATCCTAGCCACACAAATAAACTACTATCACCACATGTTAATGTTGGATTTGCAGTGGAAAGGACGATGGTTTACCTAAGGCTGCCTAACAAATTAGTAGCAGTGTTCTAATTTTAATAGTGACTTCCAGATTATCACATATAAATGTTATTTGTGAAATTTGGCAGTGCATAAGAGGGCATCTCTTGATCTCCATTCTGCTTCAGCTCCTGGATATCCCACAATGCCAACATCTGCTCTAGGAAATGCCTACTCTCCAGAGGATTTAGGATTTGGGAAAAGAGGAATCCTCTCCCCATCCTGTACATAAAACCATTGATTTTCCCACCAATAATGGGGTACTACCCTAGGTTGTCAAAATCAACTTTTACTCTATTTATATTAAATATTTAGGTTTCCAAACTATGAATATTAATTGTGGTCAGAGATGTATCAATTTATCATGGAGCACCAGAGTATATTTGTTATGATAATCTGCTTCCCTATTGGGATAACAGAATGCTAAGCTTTTTTGGGATGACGCTGCTATATAAAAGTTATCACTGATCAAAAAATAATCCAGTGACATATATAACGGAGTTGAGCAGCTCTTACCTATATGAACATTTAAATTAAAACATGATTCAAATAGACACTTTGTCTTGAACTGGATTAGTATTTTTATTACTTTTCAATTCTATTTAAGCTTTTATTTAACATGCAAATATAGATGTAAATGTATGCTTTATTTCCATCCCATTTGATTAAACGGAAATATTATTCTTGTGGTTACTGTTTTTAAGCAGGCCACTGAAAGGGAATGAAAAGAAAGTCTTACAATTGGCTCTGCAATTTGCAAGGTTAAGATTTTTATTTCTAGCAATGGTCTTAGATTTTTTTCAGGCATGAAGTGAAAACTAGTTTAATACTTCATAACTGTTCTGGTATTTCAGATCTTTTCTGGTTTCAGCATGAAGCTTTTTCACCACCACCACCACCACCCCACCAAAAGAAGTTTATTGGACAAGTTTAGGTGAAAGCTGGCTAGGTAACTTTGAGCCAGTCACTCTCACTCATCTCAGTCCATTTCACAAGGTTGTATTTTGACCCAACCATCACAAATAATGATAATCTGCTTACTCGTGAGTAAAACAAACCCCTTTTCAAAACAGGGCAGGAACAGTCTTTTATTCACAGGCAGCAGCGGCGGGAACCGTGGAAGCATTTCAGCTGCTTCTCGGGTGGGGGAGCCGCCTCCGTAACTTCCACGGTTCCTGCTGCTGCTGTTATTGGAGATGGCGCTGGCGAGAGAGGGACAGCTGCAGCTCGGCTTGGGCGCTTGGAATGCAGGAACGGGCTGCGCACCGGGACTTTTGCAAACTTGCAGAGCCCGAGGCTGGAGCACCAAGGGTTGCAGCAGCAGAGATGCTCACTCAGCTCTTCTCACGCCCACCCAGCCGCTTGGGATTAAACCAAAACGCAGTGCGCGGCACCCCCAGGTACCTCAAAATCTTTTTTTTCCTGTTGTTATGGGGACGGGGGGAAAGCGGGAACGACTCAGATGCTGTTGTTGGAGATGGCGCTGGTGCGCGGGGGGAGGAAGAAATAAATTCACCCCTGAAAAGACATCCTAGCTGTTTTTTCAGGGATCAAAAAAAAATAAGGCCCGGCCTTATTTTGTGAGAAACACGGTAGCTCTGCTGGCAGCCAACAGGCCACAACAGGTTGTTGTGGGGAAAATAGGAGAAGAAGCAATGTTCACTACTTTGAGATTTATTTTTAAAAAAAGATAGGATAAATTTAGGATCAGGAAAACATGAGGACAGAAATAATTGTTGCTTCATCTTTTAAAAATTCTTGTCTAAATTTTATCAATACATCTGAATTTAATTTGAATATTCATATGGTGCAAATATATTTTCATATTTTTACATTAAGTACAATTTTAAAAATCCTAATATGAAATGTATAAAATAGGCAACCCACATCAGTTCAGATGTTTATTGGTTTATTTATTTTTGGTTGTGATGATATACTAAAAATATTCCATCTTATTTTCTAAAGACTGGATAAAATCAGATAATAAATTGTGAATTTCCCCACTCCATGGGCAACCCTACAAGAGTCAA